CACCATCTTGTGTTCTTGGTGTCCGAAATAAATCTATCGAATGACTAACTGATTCTTCATTAAAAGGTGTTGTTGTTATCCGTCGATATTATTGTCGGTTATATGAAATGCAATTTTAGTTGATTAAAACAAAAACATTAGATTGAAAGTTTGTTTTTACACCAAAATGTTTTTGGTTTAATTTTTTTTAAAGATAATATCCTATTGTATGACGTTGTTACAAAAATAAAAGTTTTTTTTTGTTTTTCTAAGTAGTGCTATGCTCGTTAATCAGACTATTATTATGCAATGTTACAATAACATAGTGAATAAACTATGCACGACTTGCGGAGATCCATTAAAAAAACAACCTTGCCCTATCTTTTGGGGGCCCTTACTGAAAACACAAGATTTTTTTTTTTTGTCTAAGCATTGTTAATGATGAGTGATACGGAGCGATTTTAAATTCAGCGTTTACGATTTTTGTCTGATTTGTTCATTTTATGTTGCGTCATTTTATGTTATTTTCGACTTTTTCTTGAAACACAATCACTTTGTTTGTATACCTTGCATAGATTTTGTTAGATTTGTTCATTTAGCTCTATTTACATTTATCCACTGTAAGAGTCATTCAATAACCTTTTCAATAATCATGATGGTATCACCAAGCTCTATGGAGACAGTGAAGCTATTGTGACCGTCAGGTCGCTTGTTTTAATAAGGGTTCATTTGATTTTATTTCACGTACTTTCCCCCTAAATGGTCAAAGTTTCTGGCACAACCTATATTCACACTTTACCTTAGAAGGTCTTCTTACTACACTTTAACTCGTACAGATGCTAACTACACATAATGATGACTCCATCTACGCAGCACCATTGGTTTTTCCTATGACAATATGTCAATTCAAGACTAACAGGAAAATAAAAAAACAAAAACAGCTAAAATTTTCTACTCTCGTATCCAAATTCCGGATGAGCATCTACGTCATTGACGTTCTGGTTATATAAGTATCACGACAGTCTTCAAGAAAGCCAACTGTTAGTGTTATTACAACCACAGTCAACGAATAGAAAATAGTTTGTTTGTTTTTTTTGTGTAGAAAAAGACCCCCTGGGCGTGTGCCCGGATATGACCTCAACTCCTTTATTGTGTCAAAAGTGGGGGGGTGGGTGTTTGCCCAGGCATGGGCTCTTACCCGGATAAGTACGGTATCGGTACAAACATATTTTTGCTGCATGCTGACGCAAATTACAATCATGGTAGTGATTGCTGCTGTTGCCCATCTTTTTGTTCTCTTTAGCCCTTGTATGATAAAGTGAAAGTACATAGGGCTGGCAGGATAAGGGTTAATAAACAAACGGAATGAGTTATCACATGCGTGATCTTGTATTTTATATTCTTAAACTAGTACTTTCATAGTTGTAATTTCTGTTGACACATTACCGCTATCAAACATTTTTCAAAAGAATTACTGTGGAATACTTTATTTTCGCTGGAATTAATTTACGTTGAAAAGGTTTTTTAGGCGTTTTGTATGGAATTTATTTTCACTGATTTTTGATGAGTTTAATGGGAAATATAAGAAAAAAAGTTTATTCGCTGGATTTTATTTTCACGGAATCATCCCTTCAGCGAGAATAGCGAAAATAAATTCCAAGCAAAAATAAAGTATTCTACAGTAGATCCTTATAATTACGTGCAGTATCGCATTACATTTTGATTTTGTTGACTCCCGTGTGCAAAGCACAAAAAGGGTCTTTGCAGTTAGTGTGTCTGTCTGTTCCATCGATATCTCAAGAACCATACATTGATTTTTGATGAAACTTGGCACACAGATGCTCCAAACTAATGCGCAGATTTTATTTTTTTGGGTAAAAATCTGTGCAATATTAATTACCTAATTTGCATAATGATTAATCAATTTTTGGCTTTTCCACCGATATCTCAAGTACTAATCATCACATTTCAATAAAACTTGGTACATAGATGTCATAGGACACTGCACCAACCTGATATTTTTTAGGGTAATATGAGTACATATTTATTACCTAATTTGCATAATTAATTTTCAGCTTTTGATATTTCAAGTAGTCATCATCAAATTTCAATGACACTTGGTACATAGTTACTTAAGGACTGTGCAAACCCCTGATTAGTTTTTGGGTAAATATTTGTGCATATTAATTACCTTATTAGCATAATTAGTTAATTTTCACTAATCATCAAATTTCAATGAGACTTGCAACATAGATCTTCTAGGACTATGCAGAGACCTGATTAGTTTTAATTGGATATTAATTACCTAATTTGCCTAATGTTCCACTGATATATAAAGAACCATGAATTGGATTTTAATGAAACTTTTAAAGAGAACTTTTCAGAGACCCAATTAGTTTTTGGTAAATATTTATGCTTATTAATCACCTAATTAACATAATTAATTAACACTGATATTTCAATTACTGATCATCACATTTGAATAAAATTTGGTACATAAATGCTCTAGGACAATATACAGGCCTGATTAGTTTTGGGTTAAAATTTGCTCATATTAATTCTCTAATTAGCATAATAATTCATAATTTCTGTTCTGTTCATATTAGTTACCTGACTTACATAATTAGTTTTCAGCTTTTCCATCAATATCTCATGTACAAGTAATTTTTAATTAATTTTTAATGTGTAGTCAATATTCTTAGCACACGGGAGTTCTTTCTAAGCTTTCTTTTATTTTCCTTAGGCGTACCATTGCCAGCAGAAGTATTGAAATGCTGGAAAAGCTAAAAGAAGCTGGAGTTGGATGTCGGCCTGTAATATGGGTTACACATTCTATGGGAGGTGAGTCTGCTTGTAATATGAAGTTATTACAAGGATACCGAAACGTGTGCACAAAGACTGTACAGCCTCATAATAACCTTCTTTATTGTACATCTTTTTCTCCCAATGATACATCATGGGAATGCTGAAATCCAAAAACAGAATCAGCGAACTTCTTTGAGTCGGGTCCGTCCGGTCAATCCCCAGGGCAGCTATGTTTGTTTTTATTATTATAGGACGCTCACGCATGTAATATTTGGTATTAGCATTTTCTAAAATAAAAAAAACATTACGCCATGCTGTAACTTATGATGTTACGATGACAGATTATGCATTTTATGGGGGAGTCAGCCCATATACTAAGTCAAAAATTTTGCAGTTTGTTCTACAGCAGACAGATTCGTTGAAACCTCTATCTGTGTTTTACAGTATTAAACCAAACTATGCAGGCTTATCTTAGTCACTGATTCATTCTGTTTCCAGGGTTACTGGTAAAACAGATGATATTGGATGCTCAGAAGATGGACGATTTCAAAACTCTCTCGGATAAAACAAGAGGTGTTGTTTTTTATAGCACGCCACACAAAGGTTCACCGCTAGCTGCATATTCCCAGCAAGCGAAATACCTACTGTATCCTTCCGTAGAGGTGAATGAGCTCAGTCCAGGTAAGCACAAGTGTATTTATTTAGTATTGGCAGAGATGATAATGTTTCTCAGCAAGGGTTTCTTATTTTATCTTCATTATTTTCAGCATCTAGTGAAATTGCATCTCCAAAATGGCCAGTGTTTGGAACTTGACAAGTACATGAAAGTGCAACAAATATTACATGCGCATCAAATCTCTCTCCTGTCAACTTTCGTCAATTTACACTCAACAAAGCCTGCATAACAATTTTAACTAAAGCTTGTAAATAATAGGAAATTGTACATTTCGATCAAAATTAAGAAGAATGTAAGTGTTGGATGACATACTATTCGTGTAGTAACACTTATTCATATCCACTTACTAGAATCCACCTCACTAGAAGAGCAACATCGTCAGTTTTTTTCATTTGCCAAAGAGAGGAAAATCCGTTGTCTAAGCTTTGGAGAAACCGAACCAACCAATATTGGCCTGGGAATTAAGCTGCTTATTGTACCACCAGAGTCTGCCAGTAAGTATTCATGTCACCATTCTAACAAGTATTGTAGTACTGTATTATTTTAGCATATTTAGTGTTGTAGGGATTCTCATTAAATTCTAAATTTGTTGTTTAGTTAAGGAAACAATACATTTTTTGTTAAATTTGAATATCAACTCAGTTTAATTTAGTGCAAATAAAACTCAGCTAGTAACCCAGCCATACGCAGTACCATATATTTCATACTGCCCAGAAAATTGCATCTTATTTACTTAGATTGTTGTGATATTTAGGTATTTTTTATTGGCTTTTGTCATGATTAAAAGATACTAAAAATACTGATGGCCATAGAATTTGGTACAGTGCATGAAAGAGATGAAACTTGAAACAACGTGCACAGGTTATAAAGACAATTTCAACCCAAGCCCTCTTTAACAAAGTCCTTGCTTATTATTTCAGTGACACCACAGTTATAAGTATGTCTATTCTAATTTTTGCTAAGTTATTTCTTTGTTTGAATTTAACTTTGTCAATATTTAAATCATGTAGTGCTCAGTGCTCTATTGCAAACCAATAGTCGCATGAATTTACAGCATGTTAATTGTTTGTCTCTTTCAGATCCAGGATATGGTTCGTTCCAAGAAATGGATGTGAATCATCTGAATGTCTGCAAACCTGACAACATTGACTCCAAACTCTACAAACTGTTGTGTAGTTTTATTGATGAATTGATTCCTAAAAAGGTCATTGAAGAAATCTCAAGTGTCCTCGACCCAAACAAATCCACAGAAGAATATTGCTGGGGAGACATGTTTTAAAGTTCCCAATAACTATTTTTTTTGTATAGTTGTACTTTATTTTTGCGAACATTTAAGATTATTGCTACATTTTGAGTTACAATGTTTGTCGTGATAGGCCATCACAGGTTAATACCTGGAATTTATTATCAATTTTGTATTTTGATGTGTTCTCATTTATACTGTGATTAGGTCAGTGGCGTCCTAACCTTTATCTCGGACATGCCAAGACCACTCGCGTTCAATCTTCACATGTATATCATGCATCTTGGGATACATAATGCATAGCGGCCATTTTTGTGCTAAAAATTCATCAAAATCGATCATTTCTGCCATTTCAGAAATTGACTGTGTATTGATGGATTTGATACAAACATCAGGCATTATGGGACCTTAATGCACATCATTTTGTTTTTTAGTTAGATTCAAAATGGCTGATTGGTGGCCATTTTGTTTTAATGAATGCTGTATTGGAGCTGTATCTCTGACATGCCTTGATAACTCACACAAACTATGTAATGCAATTACTTGACACACTGCTAATGGATTTCTTATGTTTGACACTGTTTAGTTGAATATCACAAATCCAATACCGGGTATATTCATCGAGCTAAACTGCTCTAGGTTTATCTGTAGCCCGGTTATTTATCTATAGTCCATGTGGTTTTTATGCATCGGCTCACAGTTTTGGCTACAATGCTACTTTGGTTCAAATTATAGATGGCTGCACTGAATTACCTGGGCTTGATCACATGCATGTCAACTCTCAAACATCAGTGGTTCCAAATTGTTAAACATTTTAATGCATCTTCAAAATTTCAAATAATTTGATCGGACCCTGGATTGCATTCATCTCAAGAGAAACAAAAATCTTCAAAAATTTACCAGAACTATTTTTGATAGTAATGAAAACTTGAAGTTGATTAGCAGCCTTGTTCTTATTAAAGTTATATTGTCGATAAGAATCTGTTTGTAGCTTTTGACATTTTGAATATTGAATGTGGCAGCTTTTGGTATTCACAAATTATCCCTTTGCCAATAGCCAAACACTGCCAAGCAGTTTCATGGATTTGGTTGTGATTCAGTTCTTAGCATCTTAATGTTGAGTCACTGAAACACACATAGAATTCTTTAATTAATGACCAAAGATAGACCAGGTGACAAAATTAATATTTGATGTGTAGCATTTTCTTTGAAGATTAGTCCCTTTCGAATTAATAGAACAACCATTTTAATCGTTACCACAGCGTACAAGAAAACTTAGTACATTGATCATTACATACTTTTTAGGTACCCAAAGCATAATTCAAACAGTGTTGAAGACAATCAGTATAATGCTTTTTTCAGATTTCATTTTTGGTCATGTTACTCAAAATTGAAGGGCTTTCAACCAAGTTTTTCTGACAATACAACTTTAATAGGAATTGGGAGTATTTGTAGTTTTCAGAATTTAATTAAATTTGTCATATTCTTAGAAAATGCATGCATTATGACACACCAATACATTAGGCAAAGTGCCACTGATTGAGCTGTATGGGTGAATACTGAAGTAGATGTTGAATACTGTAGAATACTTTATTTTCGCTTGGAATTTATTTTCGCTGAAGGAATGATTCCGTGAAAATAAAATCCAGCGAATATACTTTTTTTCCTATATTTCACATTAAACTCATCAAAAATCAGTGAAAATAAATTCCATACAAAACGCCCAAAAAGCCTTTTCAGCGAAAATTAATTCCAGCGAAAATAAAGTATTCCACAGTATTCAGACGACTTTGTCTTGATATTTCGTGTTTTTGCCTAAAATTCGCCATAATGTACAGTATGAAAGCAATCTCTCATAAGTATTTAACCGATAACAATGAAATTACCTTTGGAGGGCTAACGTTATATTCTGTTACCTTTCACAAAATAAAACCACAAAACATTTTTCATATTTTTCAAAAAAATTTAATCAAGACCAGGAGGCATTTAAAAATCATCTTGTCGAAAATGAACAAAGAAATATGAAAAATACATAAAAATGTGCAATATATTGACAGGAAAATAGATGGTCTTTAAAGTGTTAATATACTCACCGCCACATTGTATCGCCATTGATGCATGCATGTTTATCTAGGAATGAGTCTGTACTGGTGATTGGATAGAAGGATTTCAAAATGCAGTCAAATCTGTGTGAAGTGACCAACTTAAAGTACTTAAATATATTGACCTTTATATTTTATGGTGGTTCATTAAGTCTGAATAAAAAAAAAATATCTACAGAAATTGTCCACTCAAATGGGCATATTTGAAGATGGGAATAAATAAATGTGCTTTTTTGCCCCCGATTAACTTGAAAATGTATTCAGACAAATAATCTTCCATCTATCATTTTGGGGTTCATACTTTACAAAAATGTACATGCTGGCATTGAGACTGCCCACGTGAGGTCATGCCCAAGTCTGGTAGTCTTCATCTAAAGGTGGTCACTAACACAGGATTGTCTAGTAACAGATACATGTACTTAATTGCAAACAAAACTGTCTATTGCTATGGATATCTGATGGATTTCAATTTTCCAATGTTACACTGTACTATACTGGTAATAGGAGTCTGAGAACATCCTGACTTGTATGTTGTAGAAAATATGGCATGTATAAAACTTGTGTGGCCCTTTTGTTGACCGATTTGACTGTTTATGTATATAAAAAAAAAAGTTTTATCTACAGAAGAGAAAAGCCTGGTCTTCGATACAAAACTACTTTAAGGTGTTATTTTGTCTACCCATGTGGTTTTTGGAAATACACAAACTGACTACCTGTGTATTTATATTTCTACTAACAAATATGAAATTAAGGGTAAGAAGCCAAGTAGTGTAAATTCACTTAAGATAAAGTAGTAATTCTACACGTAAGCCAGTATGTATGTCTGAAGAGTTTGATTACTATTTATTGATAATGTAGTTATTTGTACAGCGTTATTTCAATTCTACACTGCTATGTAATAACATGCAATTAAAACTGCTTTGGAAAAATTATATTGTACTTGTTGGATTTATTACAATGCGTGATAAACTTTAGGTCAAGTTAAGATCTATTTTATGCATTTTAATAACTGCAAAGTCATTTGCCATCAAGGTCTGAGTGAACTGCATGGGCAAGGTCCAGCCCCCTAGGGGAAAACTTGTCTAAAATCATTTGCTCCACGCATACCTCAGTGATGACCATAATCAACCTTGTTAATTTACCAGACAGCTTTTTAGTCCCCGTTCGAACGAAGTTCGAAAACGGGGACTTATAATTTGGTCTCCGTCCGTGCGTTAGTCCGGAGTCGTATCTCAGAATTCCTTGGGCCGATTCTGTTCATTCTTTGCATGTGCCGAGTACTTTATGGGGGACATATGCACATGCAGTGGTTTAGCGATTCGATTCAAAATGGCCGACTGGCAGCTATCTTGTTTTTTGAAAATGTTGTATTTTGGACATGCTTTGTCAGTTTTCATTCAAACTTGGTACATGGATTATACATGTTAGGATGTGAGTTCCTGAGTCTGTCTGTCCGTCCGTCCGTGCGTCAGTCTGTCCAGAGTCATATTTCAGAATCCTGTGGACCGATTCTGTTTATTCTTTGCATGTGCCTAGTATCTTATGTGGGACATATGCACATGAAATGGTTTAGCGATTGGATTCAAAATGGCCGACTGGCAGCCATCTTTTTTTACCTTGCCCGTACCATCAAAGATGGAAGGGAAAGGTATATTAAGGGAAAAATTTTGTCCGGCGTTGTTGTCGTCGTCGTTGTTGTCGTCGTCGTTAATAATTGTTATTGTGTGCATAATAACTTTACTAATTCTATTCCAAACTTTATCAAACTTGGTCACCTTATTCATCAGTATAAAGTCTTCCCTGAGTTTGAACAACAGATGTCCTGTATGAAAATATCATGCAAAAATTGAGAAAATCTGATAAAATATTTTGACTGTTTCTACTTGACTGATCACTGGTGATACACATCAAAGGTCACTGATCTCAGTGGAAATATGCATTGTTGTATGTGTTCAATGAAGCAAATGATTTATCTTGTAATAATATCCTTGGTAATGTATCTCAGAATCCCATACTGGGTTTCAAAACCAACTCATGGAGAGATTGCACAGTCTGATACACATTTGCAAACCTACCAATAAAATCTTTACAGAAAACAAGATGTCAGAAAATCAATATAAGCACTCCTATGAACTGGGTGCCTAACTTTGATCAAGATCTGAAGCTATTAGTTCAAAGTTATCAAATCAAAAACAATACATTAAAAGCAAAACATTTCATCCACATTTTAAAAAGAAAATTATTCTAAAATATATGTATTCTGTATTTGACAAACAGTTCATTCGACAAATGAAAACTCACAGGAATATGTTTCAGCTATTAGAACAGAATGATAGAGTTTTTATAATACTAGTTTTAAAACGCACTTCAAAGATTGCAGTGTTTGAAGATGTAGATTCTCAGGAGGCACCAGTACTGTTGACTTCTCCCTCCACTGGACACCAACTAACTATTTAAGTTGATTTGCATACAAAGCAGAGCTTGCAACATGATAGCTCTTCATAAAGGGTGTTTTTTTTTACTTTTCATATAATACAGTAGTCACACAATGAGGCAGTTCATATTTGTCTCAGTGAATCATTAATTTTTGACAGACACCTGTACAAAATACTTGGACTAAAGCCAGCTAAAATTTTCTGTTATCTTGCATGTTTTATGAATCTATTCACATCTAAATGCAGCTTTTTTTTTTTTCAATGAGACATTTGTTTTTATACTAAAATATCTGAATTACTTTGAAGAAAGCTGGAAATTATGATAAAGGGAATTATATTATATAACAAAGGGCAAGGTCACCAGAGTTCAACTATGTTTTGAAAATGTTGTATTTTGGACATGCTTTGTCAGTTGTCATTCAAACTTGATACATAGATTATACATGTTAGGATACATGTCCATGACGATTTATTTTGCAATTGGATCAAAGATGGTCGACTGGCAGGCATCTTGTTTTTTTGCTGTTTTTATGCGGTAACTTGGACGTGCTTTGTCAGTTTTCATTAAAATTTGGCACATACATATACTTTATACATGTTAGGAAGCATGTCTATGACAATTTGTTTCAAAATCTGGTCAAGGATGGCCGATTTTGTCCTTACTACTATATTTCCACAATTTATGTACCATTTTCATTCGTATTTGGCACATACATCATACATATCAGTGTGTTTCATAATCAGATCAAAGATTTCCGAATAACGGCGGTTTTTACTTTTGGTCATATTACTACTACACGGAACACATATTTTGATGTAAATAAACAATCTGTTGTATACGCCACTTGGAACTCAAGTTTCAAGGACACGCTCGCGACAATCCCTCCGCTTTAATATGACAAGCACAAAGAGAACTTTCAACAATTTAACGGGGACTGTGTCATTTTCAATGACTTGTTTTTACTGGAAATAATTTGTCAAATTTTACAGATTGTGGGTAATCAAGTAACCTAAGTATTTGTATTCAAACGATTCCTTAATCTTACCATTACTAATTCGCCATATGATTGTTTTCTCCCAATCTGGATACACTGTTTACATTTTGAGACAAAAATTTAAAAATATTCTTAATGAATCTGTAACAACTTCACCTCCTTTTATTATTTCATGTGTAATTTTGTCTGGTCCAGCAGATTTATTAGTCCCCGTTCAGGCGCAGCCTGAAAGGCAGACTATAGTTTCTAATTTCTGCTTCCCGTTTGTCCACTTTCCTTTACATCTTCAATATTTTCTCAGAATTCTGCACCAGATATCAATGAAACTTGGCAGGTTGATGAACAAGTCTGTTGAATATGCACGTAATTTTTTTTTTCAGATCTGAAAATCCTAAGTGGGTCTTTTTTCCAACAGCACTGACAGAACAACTGAGCATGCTCAGAATAAATAATTAATTAGGTTAGATGGTAATGGCGTTTTAAAGGAAACATCAAGCCAAACAACATAATGACCCCCTCAAGAAAAGCTCCACAAATGTAGGAGAATGCAATTTAGAGTTTTTTTATATCACTTTTGATTCTCTAGACATTCAACTTTTCAACAGTATCATGTACTCTCAAACAAAGGATTATGGGTAAAGTATGACATCATAGAATCTGTTGTCAGAAATTGAGAAAATTATTTTATCTATCTATAACATGAGAAATACTGATGCAAATTAGTTCAAATTTTCGTTGTGCATATTACTTGTGTATATAATTACATTGTATAGTAATGAGAATTAGAAAGTTACAAATACACATAAAATGAAGATATTGCTATTATAGTTATTTTAGTCGTGAAATATAAAATGACACTTTTGTGTCCCCTTTTTGTGGTCAACAGGTAATATATCACCTATATAACCTACTCACATTGGTAATTTCCATACATTATAAGGAAATTTTAGCATTTGGTAAACATAAAATTAAATATTTTCATTTCTATTTCCATGACAACTATTTTATAAGTATGTTTGGTACCAGTACATGTATGCTACCATGTTCTTAACTTTCAGCCACTTTGAAGTTCAACTTTTGAAGTTATAGATTAAATCATTTTCTCAATTTCTGACAGCAGGCTCTATGATGTCATACTCTACCCATAATCCTTTGCTGAAGAATCAAGATGGCGGACTACATAAATTGATAAAAACTTGGATATCTAGAGAATGAAAAGTGATATAAAAAAAAAACTGTAAATTGCATGTTCTTACATTTGTCGAGCTCTTTTATTTGGGAATATTATGTTGTTAGCATTGACTTTCCCTTTAAAGGGGAACCGCTCAATCCCTTGGATTGCACCAAATGCTCATGGGTAATTAATTCCGCCTCTGTCCACTGAGTAAATGAATGCTTATCTTTCCCCCTGTACCGCTAATCCCACAAAACAACAACTGATATAAACATCCTAAGAACGGATTACAATTTGCTTGTTTAAATATAACATAGCAATTGAATTTCAAACAAATACAGAGCAGTCTTCATGTGCCATGATTTGAAACATCGCGCGCTCGGTAATTTATATATCGTCGGAAAAATATGATGCGGAACTAATTCAAGTTGATGATGGCCAACAAGAAAAGGCGGCAGTCCACCGGATACACACGACAAGACTGTTGCTGAACGGTCCTGAAGAAAATACGTCGACTCAAGTTTATTTGCCTGTTTCCGTTGCGTTGGTCTATTGACGGTACTGATTTCGTATACAGTAAACCCGAGAACGAAACTTCCTATGCAGATTCTGTATACATACTACTCCTCCAGACTGCTAACATAACAAGTGTGAAAACACGAAGTCAATGACTTCGGTTTTCATATTTCCGTCACAAATCGGTAAACAGAACGTGTATTTACTATTGTCCTCAAATTTCCATATAATATTGACTAATTGGTAGAGACGACAATGAAAAGGTTTACTGTATATTATAAGTACATGTTATTATACGGAAATTCTCGTGATAAAATATCAAAATCATTAGTAAAGAAAAGTCGCCGCGACATCACGGGCTTATCTTGTAACCTGTTTACGACACTCCTGTGGAAATCGAAATGTACACGGGTGGTACTTGTATCTCGTGTGAGATTTAAGTTCTTGTGATCTGGTGGGTGAACGTCGGGTTGACTTTACAGTCAAAATCAGATGAGCGGTGAGGAGGAGTAGAGCGTTCTGTCAAAACAATTTTACCGTAGA